TTTTTTCATGTTTACGCTTTAAATGGCATTTCAATACAGCTGCCGATTTACACATGAAGCCGCATTTAGTGCAGATGACAGAATGTTGATGGTTGCTTGATTGTTTAGCGGCATATCAATCTCAATGGGTTATTTAATGCCAAAATCTAAATATTTGGAATGTAATTGTATGTGTTCAATGAAAATAATTTTTTATTGGTCATTTTGCTATAAAATATATTACTGACAATTGTCCTAAAAATTGTGTTACTGGTGATCTTACTATAAATATTGTTGGTAATTTTTTATATAAAATACATTTTTATACTTTTAAAGTGTTTTGTTTTTGTTTGTTTCATTATTAACCCAAAGCTAAGACATTAACAGGTGCTACTACACTTGGTCAGGGTGAACTTGTTAACAATAGCAATTAAAAGGCGGTTCCACGCTCCTCAAAGTCTCCAATCTCTCTTGCTGCCGGATGTAGTTTATCGTCATAACCAGGACTCCGGGATTTTGGGTTAGGGTTGGAAGATTTAATCGAAGCCTGGTCTGAGATTTAGATCATGAATAGGAATAAAACGAAAGTTTTCGAAGAGCTCTATAACTTCATGACAGACTGTCCACTGACAACAGCTAGTCATCCAATATAATTGGTGATACCGCCTGAAGAAGAGTGAATCGAACGATTAAAAAAAAGGCTGAATATAACAAAAATCAGATAAGTTACAAATTTTATATTAGTATTATATATGAAATGTGTATGTATATAAATATATATATATATATGTATGTATATATATATGCAGTATTTTGCATATATTATTTATATGTTATATATGCGTGGTACTTATTGGAAAGCGCTCGATATCAGTGATAGAGCTAACATATTTATTTGGATTAATGTGAGTTTGTTACCTGGGTTTCACGCTTTTGCGATCGTCAGACAAACAGACGATCGCAAAAAGCGTGAAACCCCGGATCATAAACTCACATCAATCCTAAATAAATACATACATATATATATATATATATATATATATATATATATATATATATATATATATATATATATATATTAATAAAAACAGACCACTTTAAGGTTCCATGTAATAAATTATTTCATACAGCCCTTTTAAAGGGCTCTGGATCATCAGACTTACGTCCAAAGGTTGAAATGAAAACTGTATATATATATATATATATATATATATATATATATATATTCCTCACTGATTGCACAACTCAAGTTTCACAAATTCACAACCCAATCTTCAGGTGCAGATTTAAGACCGATGAGAAAAATGTCTATTATTAATACATATTACCAACAGCAGTCAATGTGCGACACACACACACACACACACACACACACACACACACACACACACACACACACACACACACATATATATATATATATATATATATATATATATATATATATATATATATATATATATAAGCATCGAATGATGTACGCGTAGTAAAGCAGAAAATTAAATTGGTGAGTCGAATTAAAATTAACATACCCTTTTGCACAATACAATTTTATAGACTATGATTTTGTCTCTTCCCCACGCAATGCTATAGGTTAAATTGCAGAATAAACTGGTTTCTCTTATCTTAAATGGCAACTAGTGTAAGAGATTCCAGACTGATAAAAAACTCTCAATGACGAATGCTAGGATATATATATATATATATATATATATATATATATATATATATATATATATATATATATATATATATATTGTTACTGACTTAGTCATTCTTGTAATAATGTGGCTTAAGCTATATCACGTTGAAACACTGGGACTCTTAGGATCACCTAAATTAAGCAACGTCGAGTCTGGTCAATATTTAGAGGGATAACCGTCTGGCAATACCACGTGATGTAAGCTTGGTGGTGTAATATTCTGTGGATTGAAATTCGAAGAGCCGAGTTTTAAATTTCAGTCAGGTTTGTTATATTCACTTACGCACAAATACCTTTTGGAATAAGTATGAAGCCACCTCTTCTCGCCCCAGCTATTGGTTAATTACTATGAATTGTATCAGTAAATCATTATATCCCCCAAAATTAATATCTAAGAATATTTTCCGGATTTCAATAATTTGCAAATGGTTGATAATCCGTAAAAATAAACAAATCAATCAATCAATAAAATGGTGTAACAACTTAAGGACAATTGATAGTTTTTTTTTTCTATCATACAGAGATATTCTGAAGGTTCATGTTTGTGATTAGCTTAAAACCTTATATCTCTAAGAGCTTCCTAATCGAACAGTATCATTCTTCAGGATGTGAAATTTGGCATGTGTATGCGTGAGGAATTACCATTTGTCACAAAATCACACATTGTTTACACGTCATTATAAATGAAATAAGGGTATTTGTGTGTGTGTTTGTGTGCGTGTATGTAGGTGTATGAGTGCGTGTGTGTGTGCATGTATGTAGGTGTATGTTTGTGCGTGTGTTAGGGTCTGTATTGTGTCTTTTATCAAGTCAACACAT